AAAACCCAAACTGGATCAGCGAAATCCTTCGGACCTTTCCAGAAGAGACGAAGTCATTTTTACTCGATTGCGCATCGGACACGGCCCTGTCCCACAAATATATCCTACAGGGAGATGAGAAGCCGTTCTGTGTCGGATGCTACGCAGATTTTACCATTAGACACATCTTAACCGAATGTCTAGACTTTGGAGAGATCCGAAGGAAATATTATAAATGCAAGAAATTGCATGAGATTTTTTCCGTCGTTGGTCCCAACAGAATTTTGAATTTTATGAAGGCCATTGGCCTGTATGGCAAATTATAGAGTGAAAATTGAACTATTTGTGGTTTTTATGTTATCTGGGAGAATTGTTTTAGATCGAAAATATATACATATTTACACTGATTTTTAAACATTTTAACATTTTAAGATCTAACTGTTGACCCGAGCCAGCCGTACAGTAAACTGTTGTGAACAAAACTAACTTGTGTTTCGCGCGCTCATATGACCTTATGCAGTTGCGAGCGCCGTAAAACCCCATACTAAACAAACAAACAACAAGACCTCTGTGGAAAGACCCTCGGCGACATTTTGGAGAGAGCAAAGGAGCATCAGTGGACATGTCCGGAATGCAGAGATGTTGTTGCATCCTGAAACAATGAACAATAATATAATAAGACTTCAGTCCCTTCGCATGTGTTCCACAGTCAGAAATGCAGGATTTTTTTTTTCATGGCCAGCTTGTCAACTCGATATAATTCTTTACCATTCCTTTGTTTTATCTATGGGTGGTTGGAGTGCGCTACTGTTAGGTTCTTCTTTACTTTCGTTCTGCTGTTTTTTTGTCTGTCTGTTTTACTTTTTCTCAGCACTAAATAACCATAGTACTATCGATGTGCTTCTCATTACTTACACAAATGAACAATAAATTGTTTTTATCAGTCTATCTCAACCCAAAGCGACCCTTATACTAGTTATACCTATAATGTGTGTGAGTGTGCTGAACTTTACTATTATACATATTCCACGCTCTCTCTGTCCCTCTCTCTCTGTCTCTG